TATTTCCAGCCACAGATATTAGTACGGGTGCTAATAATTTCGTATCCCAACCACAGATCTTTATTTTCCTCTACGTCAGCATGTGTGGCCAGAAATCTGTGGATAACTTCACGCCAATTCAGTCAGGTACTTGTATTCGAAAATTTTTGACTACATATTAAATAATGAGTGCACAAGAGAATGAAATTTATATGCTAGCCTTCTAGATAGTTTGTTTCGGAAATTAATATCTTTACATTTTCAAAAATTACAAAAATAATACCCTAAAAAGGACTTATCTCCTTTGACATATCAAAAGAATGAAATGTTCAATTTCATATAAGATAGTCAAGGTCTACATGAATATACATACAGGGGTTTGTTGAAAATTTACTTTAGATTCATTTTCAATTATACCGAGTTGGTTGAAAAACACTTGTAGCCTGCTGAAAAAATATAATCGAATTCTTTCAGTCATCTCATTTTTTCGAAACCTTCCATGGTAACAATATTTGTTTCCCTTCAATGTATTACGTGATCACTAGTTGATTGATCCTGTTATCTGTCTTCTTTTTGTGTATTCGCGATGTTCGTTTTTTTCTTAAATCTAGAGGCCTTGAAATTTCACTTTTCACTTTTCTATGGGTAGAACTATTATAAATAAATTCTTACATTCTTTCAATCGTATTCTCAAGTTTTGTTGTCGCCCGAATAGATCTCAATGCATTGTATGTACTCTTGTTCTTACATTCATCTATAACTAATTCGTATCAATTTTCAGAACAAATCGGAAGGAGTATAAGGTATGACGTTAGTTGTCAGATACGTGGTTTTGTTGGGTTTGTGATGATTGTGCATTTATTTGCATAAATGGGTTACTATTTTTTATCTATTTCTACAAAATATTCCGGACATCCATTTTATTGATAGTTATTTTCTCTTCTAGATTACGAAATGATTTGCAAACTGTCTTACCCCTTTTCTACAAACATCTGACTATACATTTTTTGACACTTACTTGATGATAAGATTTATAGTTGAGATATCTATTATTATGTTTTATCCCTTCAAAAGGATAAAATTTAAGAAAAAACGAGTGCTAGGCCGCCGAAACAGAGTTTAACAGCGTTGAAACGCTTCTTCCGAACAGCGATAGAACTGACAGCCATGAAATTAACAATTTGACTGATTTCTATATAAATGTATTTATGTACGACCGAGCGTAAAGTAGCACTCCATCGTCCAGACTTGCGGGAGTAACGTATCACTTTAGCACCCGCTTACTACTTTATCGATCGGCGGGCGATAAACACTCAAAAAAATATACCAGGATAAACAACAGGAATTCGGCAAATTCTACAGGAAATTTCCCCTATATAAGCGACAGCAGAAATATTTGTTAATTGTACGTGACAATTCCGATCTTTTAATTCCTTTAGAAATAACAAGTTTTAGACCAGAAACTGCAACCGAACTGCAGTTTGTTATTTTAACAGGAAAATAATAATGTAACGAAATCCGGAATATGCTTTACTATTTACAAAATCGTTACACTGATTTATTTGGAATTTTCCAGTTATTTTATTGAACTACTTTACTTTTAACGGGGCTGTAATTTCGATTCAACAGGAATTTCCTGTGGTTATCTAGTATTTAACTGNAATATTATATTTCACTAGATATTCCTGTAACATTCACGGTGTTTTATTCCGGTTGCACGTATGGTTCTGACCTACGTATGTTTTACAGTCGTGGCTTGTAAACATAGCAAAATATTATTCTATAACAGGAATTAATTCAACCGGAAATTCCCGGGATTCGTTTTTTTTAGTGAAATCGTTGAGCAGACACTAAAGTAGATTTCAGTCTCATATCGATAGAAATCTATATTTCGATGGTTTCAATAAATGTAAAATTATCGAAACATATTTTAAATATATACCCTGACTTACCACATATACCAAGTGTATCGCGTTTTGGTCAATAAATATTATCTTATCTTATCTTATCTTATATCTGAATTATACAGTGCACATTACGCGTCGAGGGTCCGTCAACCACCATCATCGGACTATCAATATATTTATTGTACTTATAGGTAACTTATAAAAAGCTATAAATTTTGCGTATCCACTGATATCTCTATTACCATTTGGTAATAATATGACTACATGGAAGAGGGCTTACGATATTCAGATTTTTCCAAAAAATAGGCAAGAAGTACCCTCTTTGTGTAGTTCTTGTTTTATTCCCGTTGCACCACTTCACGAATTTTTCATACACTTTATAGTATATTTTCTTGGATTTACATGGCAATAAATTCAATTTAGCCTTCTCAGCTGCTTTACTCATTTCCGGTGGAGTACAATTCACACTCTCTTCGTCGCTTGAATCCATTTCAAAATCAGTAATAAATTATCTGTGATCACAAAAATTCACAGCAAATACGGCTACTAGCCTATATAATCTTATTTCTAAAAATTGGTAACATTCATTCCAACACTTCTTGATTCATTTCGTTTTCTTGATGATATGAATATACAGCCTCACGGCAGCCTTGATGTATACTATCATGTTCTAGATATAAAGAGGTAGCTATCTATCTACATGACATCAAATATACTGGTCGTGCATAAAATGAATGTATTACTGGCGTAATTTGCTTTTATGGACCTAGGCATATTAATTACATGTTAAATACACACGCTGCGGTCCATAAAAGCCTATTTTATGCCCTCGATACATAAATAACTATTAGCTGATAATATTTCAGAAAATAATCTTTACGGATACCGCTCGATCTAAAAATATTCTCAGGTAAATGTCCTTTTTGGAAACTCAAACTTAATTTTTTAGCAAAATCAATCGACAAACCAGCAATAGATAAAAACACTTGTCCTACGAACTCGTGGTTTTTAAAGCTGGTTGCTCTTATGATACTACTAAATAACAAAGGATTTCCTGAAAAATTGAAATTTTTTTAATAAAAACTTTGGCATCTTGTTGCGTTACTTTCTATAAACACTCTTATTAAGGGTATTTATCGATATCATATCAACAAGAGAAAGTTGGTTATATTGATAATAATAATGATAATAATAATATCTTACTCTACTCGTTTGGAGTAGTGAAGTAGACTCAGGAGGAGCTGTATCAACTGAACGTAAAGACCTGAAAAATGATGCGTCTTCATTGTTTGGAGTTGTTTGAGTTTGGAGTTGTTTGAGTTTGGAGTATTTACATTACAGAATGGTACTGGATGAATCCTGTGAAGTGGGAAGTTGAGATCCCCGTTTCAGCATGGTCCGCAACCATGAGAGAGCAGGACTTGGAGTATTTCTCTCAAGGGTAGCTGCCCGAGCGACTGATGAACCCGGTTTACTTTTCGACACTAAACGAAGTGATCACTACTCTGTCACCAAGTTGGAACCCGTTCAGAAAAAGGCCCACATAGAAGCCGCAGAGAACACTTCACTCCTTCGGCAACGTAAGGATGAAGTAATGCATGGGGTCCCCTTCAACACCATTGAAGACCTCATAGCACTTGATCTTCGCTTCTCACCGGTGTTGTCCTATATGCTCCGTGGGATATTGATTCCGTTGTGGGGAATGAGAAGTGCCGAATTTTTGGAACTATGCATTCCTCATCCTCGGGCTCATACAAGCTAACAAGCCCTCGACCATCAGAGCAAGACGATATTCGTCGTGGAGTTTTCAGCTCCCGGTGAGACGGATATCGTCCAAAAAGAAGAGAAAAACGGATGAAATATTGAGATTTTCTCTTCGCACTCCGCAGACTCTATCCCGACCACTCTGTTAAGGCGGTTGTTCTGATTATCGGATTTCTTGGTGGAATGGTGCCCTCTACACTCTCGAATCTCAAGATCATGCCAGCTTGCCGCACGATGGCAAAAATCGTGGCCGGACAAATGCAGAAGGCTACCATTCTTGGGTCATTGCGTCTGCTTAGGGCACATGATTCTCGGATCCAACAATCACTTACCCCACATTGTCTGAAGTGGTCATTGGTTGATAATGCTGGCGCGCCCTCCCGACTGTGTCAGACCTTCGGGGACAGGGTCCGAACGGCTTAGTATTTGGGAAAGAAAAAATTATAATATTAAAAGCATTCATTACCCAATAGTTAAAAACCATATACCAATTTAACAAAGTATGGTAAAACAATAATAAAAGTGCTTATAAATACAAAGTTACAATTTGATGAATGAAGAGGAAATAAAATAAAAAAGGAGTAAAAGAAGACGTACATATATTACATAAACACATAATGAAAAACTATTCCATAATTAAAAATTTTCCGTGAAAAACTGAGATGTAGTTTCAACAATTAATTTTAGGGGATCAAAATTAATATCACATACATTTGAAATTGAATTTGAATTATTTCAAATGATGAAGATAGATGATTCAAGGTTCAAATTGGATCTGGTCACTTGGCAATAAAAAGTTTTTGTACTCCTAGTTCTGAAATGAGGCACACATAATTTTATGAGGGATAAAATAACCAAAACATCCATTTGCTGTGCAATATATAGAAAAATTACTCCAGCAAGTTTGTAGTAATGAATTCATATCGAGTGGGTATCTCTATCTGGATAGATACCAAAAATGCTTTTTCTCGATTTTTCTGTATTATTCATGATATTCTAAAATAGGCCATCTTACCATAGTTCAACTTTCTATCACCGTTTATGAGAAACCCCATGAAGAGACTTCGATTTGAATAGAATTTTATATTTAAAACAAAGAAAATAAATAGAGTCAACATATTCACTACACCAGAAAAAAATAATTACTGAAAGATAAAGTGAAAAAGTTAAAAATCTAAAAATAATTTTCAATTGTTTGCTTTATTTTTCGTTTATATGATTATTTTAATCAGATCATTCATCAAATATCAAAAGAAGTATGAAATAGATAATTTTAGAATCTCCTTATGCATAAACATACATCAATTATAGATTGAAATTGTTAATATATAATAAAGAAAGTAATACAAATTATGAAACAACAACAAAAATCAATTGGCGCTCCAGGGCGACTTGATTGATTCCAGTCGCGCATTTGTTTTTTCAGCTGCAGGAAAACCCGGAAAATCTGCAGCACCACATCATCTGAAGATCTTGATCTGCCAATGTCCTCTCTTCCATAGATGAAATGTAGGGTGTCCCTTGAGGCTCCAATAAATTCAAGACATCGCCAGAATATTATTCAGTAATATCTTTCAATTAAAGAAATCTATAGATTTTGATAATATTGATTGCAATGTAAAAGATAGTTTATTATGCTTGGAATTTGATTATTATAGTTTAAATAATCACAATGAGTAATTTTTCTTCGAAAGTTTTAATATTTTGTCTTAAATTTCTCAACTTGAATGTACCTATATTTGTGTTATCTATTATTCTGTTTATTTATAATGATATTTTAGTGGATCGGGCCTAAAGGGTCGGACTGTGGCATAGTGAACGTCAATATACCTACTTCTGGAGCAGAGATAGGTGGTGCATTCGGAGGTGAGAAAGCTACAGGTGGTGGCAGAGAATCTGGTAGTGATGCTTGGAAACAGTACATGAGGAGGGCAACTATTACCATAAATCACTCCAAACAGTTGCCCTTGGCGCAAGGGATCAAATTTGAATAATTGAGGAATCTCTTGAATGTATTTAATAACAATAAAAAGTTTAATGGATATGATTGTGTTTTAATGCACAGGGAGACTCAAACGTTCAGGTGAAACAAAAATGGTATCAAAATATATGATAATGCATTTCAAGCACCTATTTCCTTTATTGTTCTCTTCAGATTATCATAAGTCCAACAAGTTCCGGAGAATTATTGCATTGATTATTTTGTGAATTAGTTTAGAATCTGATTCTAATTATCTATGAGCCAGAGTTATACCAATATGATATCCAAGGTATGCAGAGTACCCTAAAAACTTGTTTCGAATACTTTCAAGCATATCAACATCCACATTATATTATGGGCACCAAATTGTGGCGTTGTATTCGATTATTGATCTAACAACTGAACAATATATATGATCTAAATGTGCAAATTTATGAGTGAAACCTAATATTTTTAGAAATCTATAAGTAACATTTGAGAACGAGATTTTTTTGTCAAGCGTGATTCCTAAATCTTTGATTGTATTTGTTGTTTTCAGTTCTCGTTGCTTGATTTCATATAGACTATTTATGGAATTTTTGTTTCGGAAAACGTGAATTCATGACATTTGTCTATATTCAATTGCAATTAGTTTATCTAACACCAGCGTACAAAGTTAGATAAATCATAGTGTAATAATTCAGACGAGTCATGAATAACTCTGAACAACTTCAGATCATCAGCAAACATAATGAATTTACTTTAGAGAATAAAATCATTCAAGTCATTTGAAAATAGGTTAAAAATTTGTTATATTAATTTATTCATCATTTTATCAGTTCTGTCTTCAATTTGTTGATAAAATGACTCTGTAGAGAAAAAACAAAAATGTTTGGGTTACTTACTGGTAATTTGTGAAAGAAAAGATCAATAAAAATCTTTCCCTACTAAAATGAGATCCCTGCGGTACACCAGATGGAACTGCGATTGACTTACAATATTTTACAAATTGAACTGCAGGCAAAATAGTTTTTAATCCATTTCAAAACATTTTTCTGAATACCTAAAGCTTTTAGTTTACATAACAACAAATTGTGATTTACTCAGTCGAATGTCTTTAAAAAATATGTATAAATAGAATCAGCCTGGTGTCTATTTCCAAAGGCATCTAGTATAAAGTGTTGATAAATGAGAAGATTTGTACTAGTAGTTCTACCACGACTGAATTCATGTTGCTGATTTATGATTATATGTCTACAATCCCTTAATTCATAGTTTTTTTCTTATTGGATTATCTAACAATTTGGATACCTAATTCAGATTGATTACAAACTGCTCGATGATATGTCGTTATGTGATACAACTTTTATAAATACTTAGGTTTCAAAAAACTGCTTTTTCAATATTCTGGACGTATGGAAGATTACGAAGAAACGTTGAATATCATGTGGATGGGATTGGACAGGGTAAAAAAAGTTTTTGATTAGGAATAGCAGGATTTAATCGGGACCTGTTGTCAACTTCCAGGGTAATGACATAACCAGTTCAAAATTTCTTCAACATCAAAGCTGTAACTACATTTATCAACTGCCTTACTGAAGAAGGTGGAATATATACACCTCCGATAACAATTGTTGAAGCCCCTATTAATAACTCAACATACAGAAGTTTCACATAGCTTGGAGAGATTTTGATCAACTCTGTTATTGAGGGTGGCTATTAGTATTCCTTCTCCCTTTTTTATCACTATGTATTTGGTCTCTTTCAAAGGTTTGTTCTTATATCGCTGACATTTTAAAAATACACTGGGTTTTACTTTTTTGCAGCTGCTTTAGAGACTTGAGGTACTTCAATCAATATCTTATTATAACATGTTCTCCTCTCCGTCTTCTATTCTCGACATCTTTTTTCATTTTTCAATGTTACAAACAAGTAAAAGGGGCACCGATGGGTTCCTCACTCTCTCCAATCCTTGCAAACCTTCTCATTGAAGACTTTGAAACCAGAGCCATTGACATATCCGACCTCAAACCTACGTGTTGGTTTCGATTCATATATGTCTTTGTTATATGGCTTCATGGATTTCGCATTATGCTGAATTATCATAATTATATGATAATCAAACTTAAATTTATTTCACAATAAAACACTCCAACTAAAACTTCAACTATTATTCAAATGCCTGTCGCCTTATTAGATCGCTCTGCACCGCACTGTCCGCGAAACTAGACTATATCAACATGCTTGTAGATAGCGTTTATATGCGGCAAATGAACTATCCCAAAACTGGTGGAGAATTCCTCAGAAATCCATCGAAGCCGGTGAAATATTCGTCGGAAGTCCATCCAAACGCCGGCTGAGTCGCAATCTTGGCCACGACGGCCGCGTTATCTTTTTTTTATGTGATGATTCACAACACTACCCCTTTCCCTGAGGCTGTTTCCATTCAATCCCAAGATTCCAAGAGGGGAGATCATGACCCATGTAAGGACTCAGCCTCTCTATGTGGACAACTTTAGGCTTGCTTCAGAGAGGCTGTGAACGACCAAATTACACCATAGTCAGGTGATTCCTCAGATTTTTTACCGTATCTCTGGACAAAAGACCCTTACAGGTTACTACCCTCCAGGTCAGAAGGAACTCGAAGCGGCGGGAGGTAGAGGAGCTGCCCATAAAGGAGTCTGTCCGCTACATTATCACGTCTAGTGGGAAGTTCTTCTGGTAGCTGGGTATCCTTGTCCTCCAGGCGTTGGCAAAATTTACATCCGTATATCAGGCATGGTCTTCTTGAGAGGCTATCTGTGTTTCCGTGACTCTTTCCTTTCCTTGTCCTCCTGATGTTTTCAAAATTTACATACGGGTGTCAGGTACGGTCTTCTTGAGAGGCTATCTGCGTTTTCATGACTCTTTCCTTTACTTGTGATCCTGGCGTTGGCAAAATTTACATCGGGATGTCAGGCACGGTCTTCTTGAGAGGCTATCTGCGTTTCCGTGACTCTTTCCTTTCCGATGTTGAATTTCAAAATCATGAGTTTTCAACTTTTCGAGCCATCTGGTTATTTGTCCTTCGGGGATTTTAAAGTTGAAGAGCCACCGAAGTGCTGAGTGGTTTGACCTGATCAAAAATTTACGGCCATATAAAAAGGAGTGATAGTGATCCAACGCTTTGACCACTGCGAGGAGTTCTTTTCTAGTGAGGCAGTAATTTCTTTGGATGTTCCCAGCGACTTACTGAAGTAGCTAATGACGACTTCCTCTCCTTCTTGTACCTGAGAAAATACTGCTCCTATTCCATGTTGGGCTGAATTCTTGTCGAGTATAAATAAGCCCTTTGGGTATGTCAGGATCGATGCGCTGGTCAAACGTTTTTTCAGGGCAGCAAATGATTGCTGGCATTCTGGGGACCGAACAAAAGGGGTTCTCCTTTCAGTAAAGCTATGCAGCAGTCTGGCAATTTTACCAAAATCCTTCACGAAACGCCGGTTACAGAGTCCATGCTTCTTACGTCGTGCTTGCTCTTAGGTGTTGGCCATTCTTGCACTGCCTTGACTTTCTCTGTATCTTATTCAACTCCCTTTGAGGACACACCACGTCCCAAGAAATCAAACTTTTTCTGAAAGAGGCAGCACTTCTTGGGATTGATCTGCAAATAAACATTCCGCAGCCTCGTGAAAACGCTCCTCAAGTTTGACAGATGTTTGCTAACACTTTTTCCGGTGATTACGTCATCCATATAGATCTGGTATGTTTTGCAGGTGAGTCCTCTCAATACCAATTCCATCAAGCGTTCAAATGTTGCGGGTGCATTGCATGATCCGAACGGCATAAACTTAAACTGGTATAATCCATTGCCGATGGAAAAGTCAGTATTCTCTTTATTCTCGGGGCGAACGGCTACCTGACAATATCTGCTTTTTAAATCTAATGTTGAGAACCATCTGCATTCATCCAAGACGTTCAAGGTTTCATCTGTTCTGGGAAGAGGGTACCTGTCCTTTCTGTTGACATCATTAAGTGTCCTGTAGTCTACGCAGAATCTAGTCGATCCGTCTTTCTTAGTCACCAACACAACAGTTGACGACAAAGGGCTATTTGATTCCTCTATTACTCCTTCCTCCAACATTTCCTTAACGGATGAAGCTTCGTCCTGCTTTGCGAAGGGAAGTCGTCTCGGTGGTTGGCGTATGGGCTTGGCATCGCTAGTATCGATTTAATGTTGAACTGAATCCGTTTGATCAATGATTCTGCCCTTCACAAACATATCGTTCTTTTCCTTTTCGAATCAAGTGGCTTTGCATAGATCTTCTTCAGACAGATGGCTCCACACGCCTTCCTAAAAGAGTCGATGAGTTCCTTTGCGAGTTGTTGAGCAAGCTGTATAGAGGGACTTATTTCTCGATCCTGACGATTGGTTCGCAGGTGCCTATGACTTGCGCTATCAACAATAGTATTGCATCTCTCGTCGACAAGTATTGCATCATGCTGAAAGTTATTGGCTTGGGCCACATATGCTGGATTAGACACCTCTTTCCCAGTGGGAACATTGGGTAAGTGCTCAGTGCCCCGCAATCGATAGGGGCCTTCCTCAGATCAAATACAAAATCCCTAGTTCCTCTCAGATCACCAATCGATAACCAATATTTATTACCAAAAAAATTATATAATTCGAAGAAATCGAACCTAAATTACTGAATAAAATACCAACTTACTAGCTTTTACATTCGCGAAGCTATTCTACTTTCACCTGCCAAAAATTAGGCTTTCCGACTTCAGCATGCTTAGATAAATTTAAATATATAATGGTATACTAAGCACATACACATTTTATAGAAAAATTATCAGTAGTACACTTATCAGTGTGACTCGCTCCATTTAAATTGAGCAAACGAAGCAAAATATGAAGCTCCAAGTTTGAATTAACCAATTAATTTAATTGAGAAATTACATAGGAAATTGAAACAAAATCCAAACCAAACTCTCCAAACCAACTCTCCAACATGCTGACTAAAATCTACGAGCCCTCCATTTCTTATATTCTCGTCCAACAGCCCTCCCAGCCGTCCACTACAACCACGCTACCTGCAACAAAATGGGGACCCGACCGGCCCACTAGGGACTCTATAATTTTTAAAGGGATTTGTTTCTAATTCACACATTGGCAACAGCGCCTATATCAATTTGAAATAATTTATACGTACCTAGATATTCTACTTTGAAAAAGGAAAATTATCTTTGTAAAACAATTAGGGCAAAATATAAATTATAGTTCAATACCACCTCCACAAGCCACATAAACAACAGTTGTTTTATTTATTTATATAGAGGAAGATGGGATAGGTGCACAAAATGTCATGTCACAGAATGTATCGGAACTCGGAACATAAGTAAACAGAATAGCACGCCTCTGAAATAAGTCATCTTTGTTTGTCCATACAGGTAACAGATTCATTGTCCTATATTGGCTGTAACCGATGTTGCCAAATGGTGAAATAGAAACGAATCCCTTTAAATGTTGAATGCATTGTTTCATTTCTCTTTTTTAAGTATTTAAATAATTTTTTAAAGAAAAAGGTTGAAATGATAAAAAATGAAATGAAATGAAAACTACTTGATTTTCGTCAGGAGGAATATTCCCCATTATAATATAATGTCGAAACGGTCATATCCTAGTGGATCTGAAAAAAGGAAAAAAGCTGTACATCAGAAGGAAGTAATTGAAAAGTTGGCAAAATTAACGTCATATTTTACTACTACTACTGGAGAAACTTCTGTAAGTAGCAACCAACCAAAAAAATCTTTCACATGATGAGTCGTGTCGTTCACAAATTGCGTTAATTTCTGAATCCTCATGTTCTTCAACAATTATTTCCACCAACTTTGGAAAAGACATTGAATCAGAAAGCGACCGCCCCTATGACGAAAGAGCAACAGATTCGGTGATTTCACAAATAGCGACAACTGTGTCAGTCGAACAACAGTTTTCCAACCCCGGAAGAAATATCACACGATCTCGCCGATTATTTTCATGAAAATTTTACAGAAGAAAATCGCGAAATATTGATTCGTAAAGGATCTGACCATTTTCAAAATGAAGATTCTGCCTTTTCAGATACATCCAGAACCTACAAAGATGGTAATAAATCAGTAACTAGGTATTTCAATAAAGCATTATTTATTCACAAATTGAAGAACAAAATAGTTGTACTCCCCATCCAAAAAGTCTCTATTTTGTTTTTCATGCTCTTTGTTTAATCCTTCTGATGTAAATCTATGCTCTTCAAGTGGATGTAATGATTGGAAGCACATTAGCACATGAAAATAGCCCAGCACATAGGCAATCTATGACGACTTATCTAGCACGAAGTAAAGCAGTTCGTAGAGTAGATATTGACTTATTATCTCAACATCAAAAAGAAGTAGATTATTGGGGAAATGTACTTAAACGGATTGTAGCTGTTGTAAAATTTTTAGCATCAAGAGGGTTTCCGTTTTGTGGTGGCAATGAAATCCTAGGATCTCTTAATAATGGAAATTATTTGAAATGTGTGGAATTATTGAGAGAATTCGATCCATTCATAACAGATCACTTAAAAAAATTTGGGAATCCTGGAATAGGTAACATTTCTTATTCATCAGCGAATATTTGTAACGAGTTTATTGACGTAATGGGAAAACAGGTTTAAAAAAAAAATTAAAATGAGGTTAAATTAGCAAAATATTTTTCCATTAGCGTTGATAGTAGGCCCGATCTGTCTCATGTTGACCAGCTAACTTTCATAATTCGATACATGATAGTGTTCCTGTTGACAGGTTTCTGAAATTTATAACTATTATAGAGCATAAATCTGGGTATTTAGCGGTAACCATTTTGAATTTTTTAGATAACCATGATATTCCCATAAAAGATTGCAGAAGACAAAGCTTCAAATATGTCGGGGAAGTATACTGGTCCACAAGCAAGAATCAGGGAGAAATGTGAATTTGCCACCATTCATTAAACTTAGTAGGTGTACATGTACATGCTGCTGGGTGTGTATTGGAGGCAACAAAGTTATTTAAAATGGTTCAGAAAGTGTACAACTTTTTTTTGGGCTCTACTCGTCGATGAAATATATTGACAGAACGTTTAGGTTCAAAAAAAGTTGTTAAAAGTCTTTCACAAACCAGATGGTCAGCCCGAGCATATGCAATAAGCACCTTGCATGAAGGTCATGAACAAGTTATAGAAGCTTTGATATCCATGGCAAAAGATACAGAACAGGCACGAGAAACTAGAGACAAAGCCCTTAGTCTGTCCGAAAAAATGAAAAAAATTGGAATATATTATACTATATATATTGGAAATAATAGGCAAAATAAGTAATCATCTTCAAAAAGAAACAATAACACTAGACGTTGCAACTAATATGTTTACTTCAGTTGATGATTTTATTATTAACCTCAGGGATAAATTTGATTACTTCGCATCGTCTGCCAAAGAAAGAAACCAGGAATCTGACTACAAAGACCTATCTCAAAGAACAAAACGCAGAAGTTCTCGTCAGAGTTTTTTTGATGGCTCTGTGCCGTCAGTTCAACTGAATGAAAGAGAAATTTAAAATAGAAACCTTTCTTCCCATAATTGATACCCTCAGCGTTCATTTAAAACAGCGATTAAGTTCATATAAGAATATCAGTAAACGTTTTGATTTATTTTTTCGCATGAAAACTCTGAATTCTGAAGAGTTGAGACAGAGTTGCAACGAATTTGCAGAATTTTATTATGAAGATGTTAATGAGAAAGAGTTAGAAATAGAATGTTTGCATTTAACAGAATACTTGAAAATTGTTGACAGTGAAAATGAGGATTGTATATTAAAAATATATCAACTTTTGAAAGAAAATAAAATTGAAGACATTTCCAAATGTAGAAGTCGCATTGAGAATCTTTTCAAGCATGATGGTAACTAACTGCAGTGGGAACGCTCCTTTATCCAAATTAAAAAGAATTAAAAATGAATTAAGAAGTACAATGCTTCGAGATAGATTAACCAGTTTGTCGCTGATGTCGATAGAATCTGATGTGCTAAAAAACATAGATTTTGAAGAAGTGATTAACGATTTTGCCCATCTGAAATCTAGAAGGGTTTCTCTTCAAATAACATAGATTTTTAAGCACTAACCTGTAAATGCTAAAAAAGTTACTTTTGTGGACTATATTACATTTATCTATTCGTTTCCTGTGATTGTTAATACAAATAAATATTTAACCTTGTTTATCCACTTCGTCTATTCTGAAAAATAGTGTTCTGTCAAAGTCACAGGGGCCCCATTATCCTATTATGCCCAGGGCCTCCAATAGGTTGAAGACGGCCCTGTGCTGGATGTGCGCATCAGTACTTTAAATTTATAACAGTAATCAAAAAACATGCAGTAATATCTGTTTTACAGTGCGGATAAGTTACTGCCCTCTCATCAATATATAAAATTCAGACAAAATTTAGTACAAGGCAATATTTTTGGTTTTTGTTTATTAGAAAGACAACAGTATGGCATCACTATCGCCGAATATTGCATTAAGTCACCCTTCTTTCAACTCAACGGGACAATTTATTGAAGTCAGACAAAATGTAGTAAAAAGGCATTATTTTCAGTACTTATCTATATGAAAGACAATAAATAGTCTTCACCAAGTATTGCATTATGCTAAAAGTTATTGGCTTGGGCCACGTATGCTGCACAAAATTCATTACTTTCAACATATAGCAATAATCATAAAACATGTAGCAACACCTGTTTTATAAGTCCTCTCAAGTTTTAAAAAGGTATTATTTTTATTACTTCTTCATAAAAAAAACAATAGTATTGCATTATTCGTCATGTAGAAAGTGCTACCAAGTTGTATTTAATGGAAAGTGGGGTGAAACCTCGTTAAATAGGTATTCACAGAAACAACTTCAATAACGAAGATCAACAAAACATGGTATCCAATGCCGATCAAACGTAACAATGCTCCAGCCAATCGAGGGTCCTCTTCACCACTCTCTATGAATACCAATGACACACTACATAAGGTCTAATATAAGTTGAAAGGGTAAGGAAGCCAGAATCCAACCTAATATGAAGATGATTGACGATAGGGTCTCATCAATGTGTCTACAAATGAGGAGGTAGCAACGCATTGTTGCCAACCACCGCTGAAGATGCCCATCATACTCATGGACGAAACGTTCGGAGTTAATCTTTCCAATGGACCACGGCAAGCAAGCCCGAAAAACCTAAGTTCGAATTTCACTTCTGGCCATGAAAATTTGAAACTTCAAACTGGGGTGGATTTTGAATACATTTTTTCTTGAGATTATATTAATAGTTTGTAGATTCAAAAAACGGATATTAGATTGATAATTGCTCAGAAACAGATACGATTCCCAAAAGTAAAGCAGAGTTGGATAGAGGGTTGAAATAACTGCCAAAAAAGTATCACAAAACCCCCTTTTTCATTAAAAAAAAATTGTTAGCGCCTTCTCTTCGACAAGTGATGTAAAACTACTGTCATTTTTATCAAAAAAAGTACTAAAAAAATTATATCCTTGTCATTTGGAATTTTTAAATTTTCGCAACCTAGTAAACCAGTTTGGAGAGGTACTTTGTTATCCTTCACAATGGATTAGTTTCATTCCAATGTTAATTGGGAAAATTATGATATCAATACATTAAAGTGTTACATATGAAAAAATTGAAAACCATTCAAATAATCAAAAATTTGTAATAAAATCTATTCAAAGTTTTTGTCTGTATTATTCTTATTAGCAAAGTGTATTATCTTATGTTAATATAGACACATAAAAAAGTGCATATCAGTCAGAAGATAAACTTAAATAATTTAAAACGAAACATAAAACAAAACATGAAGTAAAGAATATTACTGGAGTTTTTTCCCAACACCAAACCGTTATTTTCAACACCATTGCATCACAAGTAATACATGAAGTAGTCAGAAAATAATGAATGACATATCGAAAGCTACATCAGACCAGGGTAATTACACTAACACAAGATGACTTTAGTATTGGAATTGAATCCGCTTCAAAATGTTTCATTAAAAAAGTCAGCATAGCAGTAGTATGACTATAACTGATTTACCTTATATACCCAAGTGTATAAAAAATGGTGAATAAACATTATTATTATTATGGTTACTCACTGAGTAAAATTTTCCATGCTTATTCAAAGATTGTTGAGCTTTTAAATTTCCTTATCTCCAGTGGTTGATTGTAATATATTTTACAATCGTTGTATGCAGGAGTCTTTGACAAGATTTGAGGTTGGAATAGGTTATCTAATATTTTCTGCATGCTGAGTAATACAATTCGATTGGATGGTTTCAAAGCCTGATAAGAAAACACATTCTTGTCTTATCAGGCATGCATTTTCCAATATGATGAATAATGCTACTACTGTCAGAATTTTATACTTAATAAATAATGATCGACAAGAATCTCAATTTTTTTCCAGGGAAATATTACTGTAATTAGGGAAATTTTGTGTTATTCCATTTGAACCAAGGTACCATTATACTATATTGAAATTAACAGAACATTTAGGAATCACATCTAGGCATCATATGAGCTATGTTAATGAAAAAACAAGTTCAACATACTCAAATCATATTTTAGAAGAAAATTAACAGAGATGTATAAATTTTACACATAGAAAATAAAAGTTTAAAGCCATATTATTTGGAAGCAATGGAAATTAAATAACTGAAAAATCCAAACATTTTACTGAATGACCAATTGGATTTAAATAGATCACCAGTACTGAACTTGTTTTCTAAGAAACCCACATTGTATTATTGATGTAAAATTAAAATAATAAGCTCTTGGTAAACATAATTTGAGGATGTACCTTAGGTATATAATTGTTGTCATAAGTAATTATGATCAAAGAAGTACCTGAGTAGGTATCTCACACTTGGACTTGCTAATTCCTTATTAAGCTATAGCCTGATATTCTGGGGTAACTCTGCTCACGTACATAAAGTATTCATTATACAGAAAAAAATTATAAGATGTATGGTCAAAGCTCATTATCAGGCGAACTGCAGATCAATATTTAAAAGAATGTCCATTTTGACCTTGCCTTGTATGTATATATATTTAATAACCACCAACATCAAAAAAGAAAAACATAGTCATGTGAAAGGAAATACGCTACATGAGTATACCACTCGCAAAGCAAGTGAAATACATCCACCGTTTTCCCGTCTAGGCCTAGCACAAAACTCTTTCACATATCTGGGTATCAAGTGTGTAAAATTAATTGGTGAAATAAAAATTTTTGGAGTTTTCAAAGCAACATTCCACGACTTTTTAATTAATCATTCGTTTTATTCTGTAGATGAGTTTTTAAATTTTCCTATCGATAATTCTGATATGTAAATTCATTTATGTTATGTGTTTGTTCATGTTATATGTAATTGACTAGTCTGATAAGTTTTAATACTGTACTGCACTGTGTAAAGCTTCATGGATGAATAAAAATTATCTATCTATCTATCTTGATTACGTAGGATATATAAAAATTACGAGTATATATTAGAATTAACTTTCGGTATGTCATTCACTATGAAAAAGCTACTGTGATAGCGAAACATGTCATGATATATGATGTATATTTGTGAAAATAAAGTTTCGGTATGTCATTCACTATGAAAAAGCTACTGTGATAGCGAAACATGTCATGATATACGGTGTATATTTGTGAAAATAAAGTTTGTGAAGATCAAACCATAAGGTGTAGTTTATGAAAGTAAGATTATGTTTCACAGGATGTTTGAAAAACTGATCAAGAAACGAACCAAAAATTAATAAATCAACTATGTTTAGTGACATGACTTAAAAAAATCTTCATGGCTTTCATTATGTGCCAAAGGTAATTGAGAATATTGAACAGTAGAAAGAAATACAAACCTTCTTAGGCTTGGGAGGAGGTTTAGGCTTCGAAGGGGTTGAACGAGGCCGACTAATGGGTTTAGGAGGTACCACAGCCGGAATTTCTTCGGGAACAGGTTTTTCTATAGGAGGAGGTAAAGGTGATGAAGTCGATTTGGGCTTAGGAGGGCCAGTAACCAGGGCTGAAATTCTAGCCAAGCCACCAGGAGATGGATCTCTTCTTTTGTCCTCTACTACATGTTCTTCATCCTTTTTGACAATTGGTTTGATGTTGAGTTTACGGGTAGCCTCTGGAGTTTCCGGACGAGGCGAAGGCGAGTTGACCTTGAGCAGCATTTTGGGAATAACAGGATTAGTGGGATTATCTGCTGGAACCGAGGTAGGTTCTTTAATATCTTTTTCCTTCTTCTTAATCTTCTTCTCTCGTTTTACCTAGGAAATTAAATTTAAAAATAAATAGTTGAAATTTTTCAATGTAATCTTATGTAATTCACTCAATTTCAAAGTATTTCTGAAATGACAGAGCAGTTTTTTTTTGGTCACTCAAAATACCTCTATTTTGCAAGTTCACTATATTCAGCAAAGCTCTCTAGGCAATTTTGAGTTAAGATAGTCTTAGTTTCTCTATGTAAGACTCTAAAATGTGGAGGCAGTGAAATAGACATTGTGGGTGAGATCACTCCTATAGTCCTGAAGTACAAAATATTGTTAATGGATTCATCAATTTCCCTGTTATTATTGGACTTGTATTCTCGTAGAAAGCCAGAAGAATCAATACTAGCGAAATTTTAAAATTCCTATATACGAATCATGATCAGATGTGTCACTAAGTGAAATACTGTAGTTTCTCTAAATACTCAAATGTTTTTAAAAACCATTCTATCTGAAGCCACATGTTGACATGTCATGAGAGCCAAATATTTGTTCATATCGGTTTTGAGAATAAAATTTTGTATAGAAATGAAATTCAAGTGATATAATTGTTATTTACAAACAGAGTTACAATATTCTTACTCACCTTAGAATCCTTCTTCAATTCCTTAATTTTTTTCTTCTCAGACTTTTCTTTGACCTTATCTTTCTTGTTTTTCTTCTTAATCTTATCCTTCTTTTCTTTCTTGTGCTCCTTAACCTTCTTAGGACTTGGACTCAAGCACAAATCTTGTGCCAACGTGCTTTTAGGAATCGGAGCTGTACTCGAACTGGTCTCAGGAACTTGAATGGGTTGCAGTGGAGGAGGTGGCTGAACTCGCTGGGGAAGTATTTCCACAGGTTTGATTTCCACAGGAGGAGGTGGGGTCTGCGGTGGAGGTTCTTTCACCTTTGGAGATACAAGAGGCATGGGATCAATCTGGGGTGGTAAATTAGGAACAACTGAGGGAAAATAAGGATTTTTTCCAAAATTGGGTATGTTGCCTAGATGTGCAAAGGGAAACATCGGTGTAGTTAGTGGAGGAGGTATCAAACCTGGCCCACCAAAATTTGCCAAAAACGGAAAAGGTAGATGGGGGTTATGCATCGAAGGCAAGTTCATATGAGCAGGAAGTTGCTGCCTGAGATGACTCAAATGATGAACGTCAGGAGTTTTTGGACGTTCCATAATCATATCAACCAATTCCGATTCCGTGAAAAATGGTATGTGAGGATTTTTTCTAGGAAGTTTCTTCACTCGACCCGTCTTGTTGCGATTATCCTTTCTCTTACGTTTTTCCTTTGACGCTGTAACCGGTGTGTTATGTGTTAAAATTTCCGGTGTTCTAGGAGTGGGAGGAGTGCCAGGAGGAGAACCATTGTCAAAGTAGTGGTTTTCTGGAGTCCTAGTCCTTGGTATAGGTTCAATAGTTATATCATTTGAAAGACTTATTTTATTTACAATATCGGAGGGTTCGTCAATTATTAAATTGGGAGTACTAGCTCTTGAATCTTTTTTTGTTTTACCTTCTTTTACATTCGATATCTTTCTCAATATATTGATTTTTTTCCTGTCTGGCTCATTGAAAAGCTTCTCCACTTGCTGCACTTGTTGAATAGTCATCTGAGGAGCTTGGGAATGAGCTTTAACAGGGATTGGAGTAATAGTTGTATTGAGTTTTTCGGTTTTAGCTTTTGCTGCTGCAAGAGCTTTATCTAAGTTGTCTCTCATCATTTTTTGTGGAGAAATTGAACTCATTTTCAGATCATTCAGTCGAGATGGTAATGGCAGCGGCTGATTGGGTGAGGTAACAGAAAGAGGCGTATTAGAAGCGGCGGCGGCAGCAGCAGCAGCCGCTGCCGCATTTTTCTGCTTCATTTTCACCACATCCTTCATCGTAGGATTCTTCTTAGATACTCTTTCTTCAGGTATAGACTTAAACAGCTCTTTGTTGAATTTTTCTTTCCGTTTCTCGGCTTTCTTTTTAGGATTTGGATCACCACCATTCTGTACGGTGGGAACGAGTGACGGGACGGGAGGTTCTATGACTGGAGGAGGAATAGGAGCTTTGGCTTCAGGAAGTTTACCTTCCCTTGCAGGTGAGAGAAATCCTGAAGTAGTCATCATAACACTGCTAATTTCACGGGTGGGTCTGCTGCCTTCATCTTCTCTTTTTGGTTTGCGAAATTCGGGAGACAATATATCAGAGGGTTTTTTGAATGGCGTTGAAGTTTCGTCTGGACACTCTTCTTTAACAGGTCTGATTTCCTCTTCTTTTGAATCTGGTCCTACCAAGTGAACTTCTAATGAGTTTATTTGTACGATAGCAAATTGAAAGTGAAAAGTAAATGTAGGTCTGATTCAAAATACTAAATGCAATTTCAAACAACAGAATTTGTTTGAAAATGGAATAGAAAACAAAACCAATTTGAATTTGAACAAATATATAGTTTGAATTATTGAAAAGTGTATATAAATAATGTTTGAACCAGAAAATAATTAGAATTAAAAAAATTGCACTGAAGTTAGTATCCGATGGATCAGTGGTATAGAAGAGACAGTTTCATCTAAAATATTCAATAGTATGCTTTTTGGACAAGAAATTGTTTCATTATCCCTAGGAACCTCTTTGAGGGGCTGCGTCTTGACAGATGGAGGGATCACATTGAAGAATATTGGACCATTAAAATGTTTATTTATGATTTTTATTCAACTGACTATATCTCACAAGATTATCTTTATAGCGAGTATTATGTAATTAATTAATGGAAATCGTATCATAGGTGCTTGGATTCATCTTTACTCCTTTGAGATATTTATAATAATACCTCAACACTAACATTCTTTTTCGAGTTTTTTAAGAGATATGTTACTCTACATAGTTTTCGTGATAGGTGATCTACATGAGATTTCCAAGTTAAGATAGAATAAAGAACTAGTCCAAGAAATTTTATATCCAAATTAATTGCAATTTCAAAACCTCTCAAAAAAAAACTACATAATCGGTTTTCGAGTCATTCATCATAATCTGTTACAGATGAACCAGTCAGTGGCCTTTCACTGTGTCTGTTATTTTCTTGTAATTCGACAGAAGATGTTTGAAGTTTGCTGTCTATCATTCAGGAAGGAAGTTTGAAGCTTATAGTTTCATCTGTAGATGTTCATGTATCAAAATAAGCTTACCTACCAAACTTGTAGCCTTTTCTTATTGAATGAGGGAAAGAAAAATGAAAAACAGTTGTAAATGAAAGAAGAGAAATATTGTTATTGGAAACAATGATTCAATTAAACTACATGGTAAAAAAGTTCCTGGCTTTGGAAATTCACAAAGCTGCATGTATTCGAAATGCATCAGAATTTGACTTGGGCAGATTTAACAGATGATATTTGTCAAGAATAGTTGACCTCAAAACATCCAGGGCTGTACTGGTCATTGAAAGTTAGTGTATATTCTATTGGTTATGAGAGTGCTAAATGGTTGAGTAGAGAAACTTGAGCGATTGACACTTCAATCATTATCAATCATTAAAGTGGTTACACTCTGACGAGTAGTTATTATGCATATTGTTAGACACGTTTAAGTATTTGTGATGCTCTATCTGTCAAAATAGTGGAGAATTCTATTTTGACAAGTATAGCTATTCGCCACGTTTTTAATCATTTGAAAAATATTCTTGTTGGTTTCAATATACACACTGTAAATGAAGTATCAACTCGTGTAACTGCTGAAACCATATCAAAATGTTATAAAAGTTTTGGATATCAATGTATAGGTTTTAAAATTATTCACTAACATGCAGGCTATCAAAGTTAAAGTTTTTCAAATGAAATGTCATATATTGCTTTCCATATTCGAAATATATCGTGAAAGTGCTTTTAAAATACATGTTTTTATTGTACGTAAAAAAAGTCTAATGCATTTATATATACGATATTTCAAGATAATTTCACTCCTCCAACTTAAAATTATAAAAAAAATTGATGTGACACACATTGTGTCTGATAAAAATCTTCGGTCATCACTTAATTTTATATAGTTTAGGAATAACTTAGATGATAAGTGTTGTAAGTTCACTCAAAGAAGATGTATTTTAATGAATGACGGGTTTCTAATTTTGCTCAGGCTCTTCGAAATGAAGTAAGGGAAAACCTTTACAGCTATCATGATTCAGCTTGCCTAAATTTTTGAAAACGTTATTATTTTGAAATTTTTTTCTATTACACAAAAGATACTTCTAAAAATATGAGGAACTAATAGCGCATAGAAGACAAAATCTCCCAGTATTAATTCATTTTGGGATCAAAACATACAGAGTGTAGCAAATACAGGGTTGACATAACTTTTTTTAGACAAGGTGGCTCAATTTCTAAAACAAATTCAAATAACAGAGTGTATACACGTAGAGTAATTCTTTATTGCCCAATATACAGAGGACGTCAAATATTCCTAGTTATACACCCACTTGTATACAAATAGGTAAAATAATATAAGAAAACTATTAGTACAAAAAAATAATGATAGAAATACGCAAGGTTGGGTATTTTATTCATCGAATGTTTTGAGTTCGCAAAGCAGGAAATCCGATTTTTCCGCGTTAATTAGTGACCTCTGTGATGATTGTTGAGTACTGAACTATTATAAAAACACGTAATTGAAATATAAATGAAAAAAAAATAATGTTGCTTTAATATACTAGTAAACGCAAAAATCTTAGCTAGTTATTGCAATACATTACTAAAGATATTAAAAATCAATAAAAAATATTTCAATATAAATTCCACCATCATTAGAAAGTTACCACCATCATTGGAAAATAACAAATAAGAAAAACATCCGTGTTTTAGTAAAACACAGGTTAGATATAATGTAGTAAACACAACTGTATACACTATGAGTATCCGAGATAAGTGTGGTGAGAGAGATACCGTATCGCCGAACCAGTGGGAAGAGAATCGCACAGTCGCTTGCACATGGCGACCCGTCGCCACGCCAGCAATCCGTTTTAGGTGCGGCTATCACACGTTAAAAGGTAAGATATCGTTAGTCCTCAGCTCGCACAAGCTTCTCAGCTTCTGAGAGTTGTCGTTCGTATGGGGGCGAAAGCTGATTAACGGAAAAAACAGATTTTAAACATCAAAAAGCAGCACAAAATGATAAACTTATTAGAAGCGAAAATGTCAATCCCACTGAGGAGTTGTGTGATTTCTCTTGCGATTTAAATCATTTCATCGATAAGCGATTCTCTTTGATATCCGTTTAGATCCAGAATTTTCAGTTCCCTTCCATACTGGATACGGGAAGCAATATTTGTTGTATATCGGGTTCAGTATGGAACCAAGTTCATCACTTATACCCGGATTTGCCTGTTTTCCAGTTTCCGCAATACGAGTATCGGGGGAATTTCTTAAACAACGGGTTGTTAGTTACCAATTATCTCTTGAATTCTTTTTGTCGGATCATCAATTTCAGCATGAGTTCCTGGTTATCTCAGACTTAATGTGTCCTGTCACAATAGGCTCAGATTGGTTGAGGTTTGTTCAATGTTTTGCTTCTCATTGGCTGAAATGTCAAGGTCCATTATATACCAACACTGTTTTTAAGTCACTGAATACATATTATTATTATCTACCTATATCTATTGAGTTATTAGAATTTCTGAAAAAAATAACAGGATTACGATTCCACATGGTCTGGGTAACATGATCTTTTTTTTGGAACTTCTGACCAAGGGCACCGAAAATTATGATCCAGGGCTTATTCGATTCAGAATGACCTCTAGCAACTTTCTGAGGGGCTCGAGAAAATTGCAAAAGTTATAAACAAACAAACAATAGTAAAGAAAGAGTGGTTTGGTTTTTTGCCAATATCTCGGAAAATATTGAAGATAACCGAACTTTGATAAAATATCCTCAATGGGGAGGGGGAGGAAATTTACTAAAAAAGGTCCCACCTCTCTGAACTCTATCACCAATATTTTTAATTTTAATTTAGAGGCGGAAATAGCGCTAAAAGCGGGCAATGCGCGTCCCGCACGCGCTGACCCATACTGACCTTTGAGCAATACAAGTTATTCCCATTTTTATTTTCCACTTTGTTATTTAGAGGCGAAAATAGCGCTAAAAGCGGGCAATGCGCGTCCCGCACGCGCTGACCGATACGGACCTTTGAGCAATACAAGTTATTCCCATTTTTATTTTCCACTTTGTTATTAATAATCGAAAACGTTAAAAAGTGAAAAGTTCAATCAAAGTTTTATCAATATTCAATTTATTCGTATTCTTATTATTTAAAGTTACATAAAAATGATGTTTCATAATTTTTAGCTCTACTTGTTCAAAAAATTGTTGTAAACAATTGTATTGTATATAATATATTTGAAATTTTTTGGGGGGATTTTCATCAGTGATGAATACTTTGATTTTTTAAAACAAAATCGCCGACCGTATCGGTCAGCCAGTGCGGGACGCGCATCGTTCGTTTTTAGCGCTACTTTTGCCTCTAAATTAAAATTATAAATATTGGTGATATAAGTTTCGGAAGGTGGGACTTTTTTTTAGGAAATTTTCCCCTCCTTATGGATTTTTTTTTTCAAATTTCGGATATCTCTAATATTTTCCTAGATATTTGCTTGTTTATAACTTTTGCAATTTTTTTCGAGCCCTCTTGAAATTTTTCAAAAAGCTGCTAGAGGTCATTCCGAATCGTATGAGGCCTGGATCATAATTTTCGGTGCCCTTGGACTGAAGTTCAAAAAAAAGGATCTTGTGACCCAGACTATTTGGACAAATATTAGATCTGCAGGTGCCCGCCTTGTACCGAGATTGAGCAAGCCAATAGTGGAACGAATTTCAGAGAGCTAATGAATTCTAGACGGCATATTCATTTTGAAGGCAACATATCTACGAAATTTGTTCTGAACTTTCTCAATATCAGAACTGTAGTTGAAGAAAGTTGGAGACCAGATACAAGTGCAATACTCAATCACTGATCTTACCAATGCAAAGTATACTATTTTAATTAAAAAAAAAAGTTGGTAAAATATTTAGTTGATCTGCATATGAATCCTAACATTTTCATCGCTTTGTTAAATATGTGTTCATACTGTAAATGAAAATCCATCTTGACATCCAGTAATTGTTTTTCTATTTTGTATTTTTTCATGATGAAAATATGTTCAGAATTGTGCCAGAAATAAATATCCAAAATATGTATCCGTGATCGCTTTAACCTGAATTGCACAATTTTGAACAGTTCTATTCAAGTTTGACATAAAATTCTTTTCAATGTTTACTATGCTTGGTAAAAATGAAGAATTTCATCATTTTTCAGGCGTTGCCATGTGTATTTTGGGCTTTAGAAAGTTTGGCTTAAGTAATTATGGTGCATAACATCAACATTTAAGCTGAGCATAATTTTTCTACCAAACTTAGTGAAGCTTTGCGTTGTACAATATAGGTTGAATATGGGTTTCTGCAGTGAAAAGCATACCAGATGGACCTGTGAACTATCCAAGCTGTCACATTTCTTGATTAGTTCATGAAAAGACGGGCACCACGCCCAAGGAACTACAGCGTGGTTGGGTAGCAGATCCCGTCCTCCCATCGGAGTTTGTATCCCCTAATGACGGGGCTCAATATGACGCCCATGTCAAGCTATTTTTGGCTCATAAAAGTTATTTTTTAAAGGATAACCGTCAGGAAACAATTATTCTTGCACAAACAAACAAAAAAGTATGCTTTTGTTAGAAGGCCCATTCCAGATTAAACTAATGGCATATGTGTACGCCTTAGAGTATGTTGATTTGGGTAAGGATCGTGATAATTTTCAAGCTACTCATCTGAGGTCATTTTTAAGATCTCCTTCCTCATCTTAGCTAGTTGATTGATGAACTTTGGAGGCAGTTGTGGCGAAACGCTCTGTACACATGTAAACCATATACAGGGCTATTCAAATTCGTTTCTGTACATGGGGATCTCGTAAACGATAAGAGATAGAGTGTCGGTTAAATTGTG